CGAATTAGAGGAAGTTTTTTCGAATCAAGCCATTTCCACTCACCTTTTCTGATGCGATACTTCAAAATGCACATTAAAAAACCTTGATGGAAACACGGCTAATGACTCAAAATCTTGAGTTTAAACTGTTCCTCTTCTATCAATGTATTGTGGTAAGTGTATCACATTTCTGCTGAGGCGTTGGTCACTGGGGGAACAAAAAACCTTTAAGTAAGTGTGGTCCAGATGCACAAAAACTTTATTTGATCAACGTTTCAGCCACTTCATATTGATCAAATACAGTATGTATTCATGTATGTATGCATGTATGAATGTACTGTATGTATGTATGTACAGTATGTATGTATGTATGTATGTATGTATGTATGTATGTATGTATGTATAGTATGTATGTATAGTATGTATGTATGTATGTATGTATGTATGTATGTATGTATGTATGTATGTATGTATGTATGTACATATTTATTTATTTATTGCTTTTAGATTTGTAATGCGGTCAGCACTTGTGACAATCATTAATCCAGATCTAATCCCCAACTCCATTTGCAGGCCCTAATTTCCAAGGGGATGATGTAATGCTTCACAGTTGCCGGCAAACCCTCATCAATATACCACATCTCAGCCCCTCAGCAAACAAACTGTCTCCTGCTACTATCAAATATTTCAAATTTTGATTCTGCAACTGACAAAGCAGAGAAATTAAACAGGTGGTCATTCTGCCTTTTAGGTGGAGTGACAAGCAGTCTATAGATGGTCCTTCAATGTGACTCAAGATGAAATTGTCCTCAGATTGCTAATAGAATTGTAGAGACATGTGCCTCAGATGACGTCTGATTGTGTCTTGAGTGATTCAATCTGATTGTGTCTTGACTGCAGTCAGGCCAATATATTAGACTGGATCACCGAAGGGACATGTTATTGTGAATAGGTCCATCTACTATAGATTGTACAATGCTCACTTTTTTGTTTGTTCTGATGAGTGAATAAATCCCCATAATTATTCAAATAGCAAACAGTTATCTTAGTTCAGTGTTAATTAAAATTATCATTCATTCAATGTCAAACATTTATTTATTTTTGTTTGTTTTTGTCCTTTTGTGTTGCCTAATGTCATTTAGCTGTGGTGGTTATCTTAAATTAGACTGAATCCAAATGTTAATCTGTTGTAGATGTCAATCTAAATGATTATTTACTGAAAACTTCATTAACATTTGTCTAATATTTTGTGGGATTTTTGCTAGCCTGGTTAAAACCAGACCCTGTTCTTCACTTTTCTTCGTACTAGGGTCTGGACTTGATGCATAGACAAGCATTTCATGCAGGAGGCGTGGCCTCTACTGAAGCATGTATGTATTGTCGCTGTGACGGAGGCTAAGCTAAGAAGCTAACCGGAAATGGCGTGTGCTGTAAACAACCCTACTGAGAGGAGAAAAGTACCGAGCCTAACGAGACGACTAAATGAGAGCTGCTGCTTTGTCAGACAAATTTAATTTAATTTGGAAACTTTATCAACACGGACTGGCTTCATTCACTTCCTCCACTGCCGTATGCTAAAATAACTAGCAGACACTGCACAGAACATCGACGTCATTCAAAACTTCACCTTCTGTTTGCTGACTGGCCCGGGCAAAATAAACCACAAGCAGACACTGCGCAGAAAATTTATGTTCGCTTCTCTGATTGTCCCGGCTAAAAATCTGCCAGCGAAATCCATCTCAATGGGAGAAGTCCCAGACAGAGCTCTGAAGGGAAACTAGAATTGAGCGGAGCTGCGTAGGAAGGCAAGGGCCAGGCTACAGACTACCCGGTCGAGGTGGGCCAAATCCTTGGTAGACCGGGAAGACCGGAAAAAAAGAGGCTGTGAATTTGGACGGTCTAGCCTCCCCTCCACCCCGGCGTACGTCATGTCACCTAGCAACTGTGACGACATTAAACAGAATCAAACTTAAATCAAAATTAGAAAAAAATCAATATATTAGCATTATAAATATCACAAAATAAAATTAACTTAAAGGTAAAATTTGAAGAACTTATTGACCCACCATAGGTGCATGTTTATTTCGCGTTTTTTCTGACAAAAATAATATTTAAAAAAAAACATGTCTATACAAATGATAAAAGTATTAAAATTAAAACTGCTTGAATTTTTTTATTTTTATACTGCCATTTTTTATTTTATTTTAAAGATATTCTTTTCTCTTTCTTCATCTACCATTACTAGCATAAAAAAATCTCCTGTCGGGCCGCAATGCATTATGCTGGGCCAGGAAGGATCCATCAGACCAGTCCTTCAATTTGGGCCAAAGGAAGGACGCATTTGTCGACCGCATCGGAGGAGTCTTCGGTTTTGGACGGCCTTTGTTGTGGCGCTGTGACGTATGTGGCTGACGAATTCAGCCTTCGAAGGACCCGGCCTGCCGTTTTGGACACAGCCGTTGTTGCTCTACTTCCAATGACTACTTTTTTCAAAGTTCATTAAAATACAAGTTGTGGATATACACTATCACACACAGACAGACAGGCAGACCCAAAAACATTACATAAGCTGGGCAATAGAAAAAAAACATTTCTCTCTAAAGACCTTGGGTTACACCACCCAGTAAAGCAGGTGTCTATGAGTTGCTACAAAAGCAACAACAGTAGAAGCCATTTATTTTGGCCAACAATGACTTGGAGCACCTCATTTCCCTCTGACAGATGGAGAGGAGTAACCATAAAACAGGAGAAAAAATCATTAAGTCAGCCAGAGCCCCGCAGAGTTGTTTTAATTGTGTGCTCTAGAGCTGAAGGCATAGCTCACCTGATTGCTGCTATAACTAACTGCCTTCACACCGACAGACAAGATCTTCTAGACATTTAGAAAGTGATTTGTGTAGGGAAGGTTACTCTGGGAAAGGACAATCATGACAGATAGAGAGGCGAGAACGAAGAGACAGTTCATCCCGAGTGAGCAGATTGGATGCTCTCTACTGGAGAGATGCTTGTCCAGCAGGAGAGACTTCAGCACCTGGCTAATACGCTCATGGCTCATAATTCACAACAAACCTGCCATTGTGTGTGGCTAGCGTTGTCAATGTGACACCCTATAGAGGGCCTGCGCTCATGTCCTGACCTTTTGTGTGAGTTGCCAACAGACTGCTCATTCAAAACGTTAATCAATGGCCTTTCACCAGCCACGCTGCAGAGCCCGTGTATCAGCCACTGAATAAAGCTGGGACGTGAGTGCACACACAAAGTGATTAGAAACCATCAGGAAGACATTTTCTTCACTCAAAAAACAAAACAACATACAACAACCTGACATACTGTAACCTGGTTAAGTAAATCCAACACATTTGTTTTTTGAATGAAGCTCATGCACTAATCTGCAGAGTTGTAAAGTAACTAAGTACAAATACTTTGTTACTGTACTTAAATAGAATTTTTGGGTATCTGTACTTTACTTGAGTAATTATTTTTCAGCTTACTTTTTGCTTTTACCCATTACATTTTTACACAATTATCTGTACTTTCTACTCACTACATTTTTAAAAAAAGTTAAGAAGTAGAAAGTAATTTCTCCTGTTTTATTCAGAGTTGTTATTACTTTAAAAAAATACTATCCTGATCAATTATGTCTCCTGGAGAGAGTGAATTTAATTGTGGTTGGATGAGAATAAATATATACCATCCTGACACCCTATTAGCTTGTACAAACCCATCACAGCTGCATGTCATTAGAACAAATATTTTTTGGAGAAGTCACCTCCCAATAAATGACATTTTGGAAAATCTAGCTGCTCACTTTTACTCAGTACTTTTACTTTAAATACTTAAGTAGATTTTGTGACAGAAATTTACTTTTGATACATAAGTACAAAAAATATCAGCTACTTTAAGACTTTTACTCAAGTGACATTTTTTGAGAAGACTTTAACTTTTACCAAAGTATTCTTATGACAAGATACTTGTACTTTTACTCAAGTATCACTTTGAGATACTTTATACAACACTACTAATCTGTATATAAAAATGAACTCATACAAAAATACCTTCAACAGGAATAAGAATAACTTACGCTGACTTGAGGAGAAAAACAAACCTGTGCACAAAGAAGCAACACCTCAAGCAAAGTGTTGGCAGGTTAGGCAGGACTTCCATTCCCTGTGTTCCACATAAAGACACGTCAAACTGTCTAACAAAAAACAGTCTGCCAAAATTCAACATACAACCCTGCATACAAATCCACTTAAAACAAGCTTCACAAGCTCCTAATGACAACTTTGCGCCAGGAAACTTTGCCATCAGTTCCTAAAGCTCATCAGTCTGGTAAGGCTCCACTAAACCCCACAGAAGTCTAACTAATGTGGCATGATATTACACATAAAAAGCAGCTATTTCTAGTGTTGCCTTATCACAGATAATTTGTCAAAGCAACTTTTAGTGGTAATTTAATGAACTGTGTGAGTTTTAATAATAAACAACATCCTGGCCTCATCTTAAGCCACAATAACATCAATAGAGACAAACTAGTCAAAACTGACTGTTAACATACAAAGAAGTGACCCGGTTTGTTTCATTAGAAAGAAAAATGTGTTTTACAATAGTGACGATAAAAGACTGCGTACCCTGGAGAATTGGTAAATAAGTATAAATATATATGCTAACGAGAACATCACCAAGATGGAGACAGAGTTAGTAAGTGCTGACAACAAGAGTACAGTAAAGCACAGATAGATATCATTATCCTAAAGTAATAAATGCATGAGAAATAGCAAATTCACAGCAGTTCAAAGCAGAATGTATAATTTATCAAGCCATTAAATATTGATCTGAGTCTCGGAGAAGCTGAATGGAAGATGTGACCACAGATATAAAAGCGTGTCAAGGTGTTCTTGCCCACTCCGCAACCATTTTCAGTCTCTACCGCTTGTCTGGCAGCGTAGTCGAAGCCACTCAGAGGTGCGAGAAGTAACAGCAGCAGGCAGCTGCAGCAACAGTGTGTCAGGGAAACGTACGTGTACTCTTCCTCCGTGAAGATTGGGATGCGAGAGGGTTGAAGGACAGTGATCTCCACCAAAGTGCTGTTCGACTTCACTGGCTCCCCGTCATCAAAGGCTATCACATACAGCTGTGGAGGAGCAAGAGAACCCGCATGAACTATACAATGAAAAAGCAAGCACAGAATGATCACAGTTCAGAACTGTAACGCTACTCTCTACACAAAACTGTTCCCGTTCCGAAGCTTCTGACATGCTTTTATTTTAGTTTTTTGTGTGTGTGTGTGTGTGTTTAAGACACATTCAGCATTCTAATAAAGACAAGAAAGGCAAAAGAAAATCTGGTGAGCAGCCTGCAAACATCCGATAGACCAAGTGTGAATGCACTGATCAACATTCACTGGGAGTGTGTGCAAGCAGGGAGTGAAAGATAAGCAGACAAAGAATACAGACAACAGACAACACATGGGAGTCATAAAACAAAACCCCTGAACATACATCACCTGCTTTACTACAAACTCAGGACTTGTTTAAAAAAGGTTAGTATACATACACACAGCTACAATATACACATAWACAAGACATTAATAAGTCTTCTAATATCTTTGCAAAATCCCGGACTCAGGACCAGAACAGCTTTACGGAAGGAACCAATATTAGAGTTTTAAACTAAGATTAGTTTATGATGATGATTTAGAGACGTTTTGGTCAAACCTTGTAACTTACATTATGCCCAATCTCCTGCAATTCTGCAAGATATTGTGACATGCACACTCAAAAAAATGTGGTGGATATACTTTTAAACAAGTTGTCAACTGGTTCCACACAACTGAGTAGAGATGTAGTGCAGTTTTTACATGTGAACATTACTTTGTAATAGTAAACAGAGTGTGTGTTAATGACTTCCAGCTACAAAATTTAGTTCTGCATCTATAAAACGGCCTCACTTAAAAGCAACTTTTGTGTTTGCTAAGGTCAGTTGGTGGTGGCTTCTATTTTTGTGAGTTTGGAAATTGATTATCGACCGAATAATTCATTTCTAGGCGTATGTTTAGCAAATTAGCTGATGGAATTTTTGTAGCAATGAGATGTAAAATAAAATGCAATTAAATGTACTGATACTGAATGAATTGTATTCATTTACATGTACATTTTTTTAATAATACTGAATTTTGTGAAGTTATACCTCCCGTGAAAAGACATGTTCCAGCTGAAGGAATTTGATTCAAAATGTAACAGTAGTAAGAGGGCAGCGCTCATGTCACAGCCGTTTTATGCAGCCTACATGGACTGCCTAAGGCCCAGGTAGAGTGTGGTCTATGTGGGCTGCAGTCTACATGCGCTGCAACCTCTGAATTGGGACACAACTAATGGTTCAAACTAACCTAGACGATAACTTTGGGCATATTTTGAGAGATTCTTACATACTGTAGGTCATGTTATGTAAACTATTAATTTATGTTACACGACTCATCTTTACCCACTTTACTCCCCTTGAGCAGCAATTCCCTTATGTTCCTTTTATTTATCATTTATATCCTCTCATTTCCCAGTTAGTCTAAGTAGATGGTACTTTTCTTCTGTGTAGCACCCTGTAATGATTTCAGGTATAAATTAGCTCTTTGTAAATAAATCCAATTGAACTGAAGTAAACAAATAACAGGAGCTTTGTGATGATGGAGAGCTCTGTGGAGACCCATTTATGTTTCAAATATATGCATCTATAGCTACACCTATATGCAACTGGAGGCTTTTTTATTATCTCGCTTCTGTGCACTTATACATTTAAAAGCAGTTTGCTGTGAAAAGTACCTTAAAATGTATAACAGCATCTGTTTGTCTACCAACACATACTCTTTCTTCTAATACTCTTTATGAAGTGTTGCCAAAACTCCACTTTAAACAACCATATTTACTATAAGTGGGGATAGTTACGAACATTCAGGAGCCAAAAAAGAAGAAAAAAATTGGACCTACAAGACAGAACACAAGGTTTGGCACTGTTCTTAAAGCTGTTGTGTTAACTGTCAGTGCAGAAAAGCACAACATTGATGTAGAGGATATTTTCTTTGAGAGATTCCTCCAGTGCATGTGGACTCGGATTTAAAAAAAAAAAAAAAGAAAACACATTTTTTCCCACCCATCCTCTAAATCAAGCTATCGAGAAAATATCCTAACTGAAACTACCACCTGCGTCAGGGCAAATCAAAACAACTACGTGTTCCTTCAAGAATAGTGCTGGCCAACATTTGATTCACACAATTGGTCATGTGCATCCAGGATCATCCAAATGTGTTCTGAAGAAGTGGATTTTATTTTGTCCTCAATGTCTACTGAGGCTGAACATGCATGGATTAAAAATTTGTACAAAGGCCCGAACATTAAAGCTGCATGGCAGGGTTAGTCGTAAATATAGGTAAAGACATCTTATTCTACAGCTTCATGTAAGTCACTGTATTTGATTTGTCTAAACAAAAAGATACCTCAAATATCAAGCATGCATTACAGATTTTGAGTTTGAGGAAGTTAATAAAATATATTGTTAAAAAAATATGACATTTTTGTTTTTTAACCAGGGTAAAGCTAATCATTCAAAAAATATTTCTTTAAGCTTTTACTCTTCACTATCATACCATCGGTAAATTAAAGCCAACACAGTGGGCTGCCTTGCCACCACCACGGCTTCCTTCTTATGTGCTAAATGTAGTTGATGCAGCTCAGCTGGAGCTCCCTAAAACAGAAAATAACCCCCCCCCCCCACCACCCATAAATATCTTGATGTGTCTCTTCATTGACTGACTAAATGCCTAATTTTCAAGGAAATGCTATGTTAGCATGGCAACCAGGAAACAACCTTTCACGAAACAATGTCACCGTAATTACAGCTACTCACTTTAAAGGTGACGCTGGGCTCCTCGTTGAGGTTGACCTTGGTGATGACTCGACCAGTTTGCAGCTCTACATCAAAGATGCTGCCACTGTAAGGTGACCTTTCCATGTCCACTCTGTAGCGTACAAAACTTGCTGAAGTCCCCTGCAAGAAAGAAAAGTTTACATACCGTATTTATTCATGTGTAATATGATCTGCAGTATAACACGATCATCTTTTTTTGAGCTTAAAAGGCATAAAAATATAATCATGTTATGAGCCACCACTAATTTCTGACAGACTTCAGGGTTTTTCAGCCTTTGCGGTGCGCTCTCTGGTGGCGAAATGTTATTTGAGGAAACACACTTGCTGCAGAGCTGCGGAGGGTGTGCAGCGCAAGTTTCTGTTCCGTGTGTCACTGAAAGAAACAACCCGCCCCCAGACCAGAGCAGAAGCCAGTTGGTAAATTATTAAGATGGATTTATCAGAACATGCAACTAAAGTCCAAGTCTTTTTTACATCGCCACAATTGACAAGAAAAAGAAAACAATTTTTTCCTCCTCTGACTCCGGTGAGGAGTCTGTTTAAATGCCTCGCTATGCATGACTCATAATGGAAGGGGTGGGGGCTGTATTTCAGTTATAAGGGGAAATATTGAAAATTATTGTGGTTGTACATTTAAAAAAAGTCAGTCAAAATTTACTCTGACTTATAATACCCACCCCCTCCCCCCACCACCACTTTATTAATAATACATATTCAGCTAACAACATTTGTTTTAACATCTTTTGCAAATAAAGAAAAAAGATGAACAAAAAATAGACAAAATAAGATTATCAAATTGGGTTAAGTCATTAAGGTGTTGCAATACTGTTTGTTTAGAAATATACGTATTTTAGGAAATTGTCAAATATGAGTGTTTCAACAAGTAAAAGAACTGGTTTAATATAAGACAAAAAAAAACTGCTTTTAATCTCTGCCATGTATTTCTGTCCTAATGCGTCATCATTCTCTTATCCATTTAAGAAACTCTTAGCTTGCCACAATCCCCCATTAGTCTGCTCCTCACCAAACATCCTTGAATAAACCCTCTGTGATTTATTAAACTTATTCTTTTCATCAAAAGTATAAAAAGTGTCTCTATTAAATGCATCCTTTTAGTCCAGAGGAGTGGACACATCCATTCATTAGTGACAGTGTGAACTTTAATGTGACCCTTTGATTAGGACCAAACGCATATTCTGATTACTAATCATTCCTATAGCTCGTCTTATCCCAGTTTCAGCCTTCCGGACTCAAAATGAAGTCTGAGTTTTATATATATATATATATATGATTTTTTTTCTTTTTTTCTTTTTGTATGAAGCAATTTTGCCCTCCAGGAATGAGGTACAAACCTAAAGCTAAACAGAAAAGGATCCTGAAGTAGTGGATCCCTTGGGAAGCTTACAAGCACAAGTGTGTTCCTAAGAGGTAACTGAGTCCTCTCACCAAGGAAAAATAAAAAAATAAAATAAAATAAAATAAATCCTCAAAAGGTTGTTTAAAAATACAAATTTAGCAAACTTATTGATAAAAGAAATGAATAAAGAAACAAACTATTAATACACAAGCATTCATTGCAGTCTGGTGGCTTCTTTAGATTTAYTGTTTTTTTTTATGTACAGTGCCCTGAGACAGCAGTTGGGATTTGGCGTTATATAAATAAACTGAACTGAATTGAATTGAAGCACACTTCCACAGTGGTGAGCATTCATGGTTAAGTTCTTTGCATTCTTTCTTTCTTTATTTAACCAGATAAAACTGCACTGAGTTCCACATCTCATTTGCAAGACGGACCTGGATCCTTGCTTGAGAGTAAAAAAAAAAAGGGGAAAAAATAAGAAAGAAAAGTAGCTTATTAAAAGCAGCCAGTCCCTAATTTTTTGTTCTTTCAGCTTGAATTAGTAACCTGCTTTTGGAAACTCATACATTCAACTTAGGTCTGGAAAATCCAAAACACAAAAGCTTACACTTTACTATATATATATATATATANATATATATATTACTGAAGATATTTTAAGTAACAACTGTTGTTTTCACAAATTTACTCATCTATAATGTAGAAACTGAATACAGAGCTAAGTGTTTGGTAGGAGCAACATTCTACCGTTTCTGTTAACATACTTTTCTTCTGCTGTAGCACCGTTTTTCTTGCATGACATTTTATTCCCTGACTATGAATATTTCATGTTCACCACTTGAGTGAACTCACTTGATTATTTACAGTAAAGATTAAATAGAGGAGTTTTCACACATGCACATTTTTTCTAGAAGATTCCAATTTTCATTAATACCAAATAGGCCATATCATTCCCAGAATAAATTCCATTGATTTTTGTCTCAGAAACAACAACAGGGCCTGAGCTGAGAGTTTAGAAAAAAAGATTCATTATGGCAGTTTATTTTGTAAATGGGTGAATGATTGATTTGATTTGTGAATGGATAAAAAACAAAAGATGACTCAGAATACGGGGAGTCACTTAAATACATTTCGGTGAACTTGCTCTGCTGCTGTGAATCAAGACATGGGAGAAAAAAGGTTTTCAGTGACAAAGAGCAGACTCCTTGGATTGTGTGCTGAAGAATAAACAACATTTGTCTCCATGGCAATCTCTTATTCAGGGTAATATCACCATTGATGTTACAGAGCTGAGCAGAATGACAAAATTGCATCTTCATTTTAAAAGTCACGAGTGTCATTTCTTCCAGGGTTCAGATGCTCTGAACCAATCTAATCTTCAATATTTATTGCTCACATTCAGCATGTTACATCAAGACTTCAAGTCTGTCTCTGTCTCTCCATGTGTGCAGTTTATTTATGAGTTTGTGCAAAAGCTAGAGACTGTACGAGTGTGTGAAGTATTTTTTTTTCTTTTTTGGTTTGGTGTTAGCAGTGGTGTCTGTATAAGTCATCTGTTGGTAAATTATTTTGAGTTCCTGTATTAAAGTCAATATAAATCTGAGACAGGAAACCTAATCCTTCCGGTTGTCAACTTCTTTTCTCTTGTCTCAACCATGTTTTTCACACTGGCACTGCGCTCGCTGTGACAACAATGACTTCTTATTTGAGCTCTAGCACCGCTGGCTATTTTCTTTCTTGGAGAAAAATATATATATACAGTATATCCTGCATGAGTTGGAGAGTGGTAATGGCAAAGAGGGCCAATTTCAGAGTTGCAACAACTGGAATAGGTCAAGCAGGAGGAGGGGATGTCCTCTCCTGAGAGAAAGTGAGATGTACAGCAGTCACTGTGACATTGTGAAGATGTTCGACCTCCCACAGCTAGAACTGACAGGCATCCGTTTCCCTCAGTGTTCATGTGCAGCTGAGGGAATACAAGCCCATTCAGCCTTGGTGAGATCCTACCAGCAGGAGGGCCACTAATAACGTGCAGAAAGTCCAGTCATGCAGGACTTTACCGGAAGGAGAAAAAGAAAATTCAGTAGCGACAACCTTTTCCCCACTTTCTTCTTATAGAACATATAAATCAAAACTTAAAAAGTGAATGACACGGCATGCACAAAGCAACCTCCGTTATTGTAGATGACTCATACAAGTGAGGATACAAAAGTAGATCCCTTCGTAGTTAGAAGCGGCAGTGTAAAAGGAAGACACACACACAGAGACCTGGAGCTCTAATGAGAGCACGACAGTGTTGAACACATTTGTAAAAGGCTGCCACTGAAAATGACTTGTTTTCTGACAGCAACATTAAATCCTCCAGGAAAGGCTTTTTTCACAGCTTTCACCTGTGCTGTATACAGGGTGAGTATTAAATACACATTTAGCGCGTGACACACTTAGTATTTTAAACTCACCGGGGGGTCCTGGTCCTCAGCGAAAACAGTGGTAATGACTGTTCCTTTCTCTGCATTAGGTGCCACTAAGCCTTTATACAAATCCTGGGTGAAGATGGGGGCGAAGTCATTCATGTCCTGGAAAAAACAAACAGATTGACAATTAGCATCCTGGATATGTGTGTATTTATGCGGGGGTTGGGGGTGAATGTGTCTCTGCTTGTAGATTGTTCAAGATGCGATTGGTCAGACTGACTATTCTGGATGGGGTTTGCAAAAGCCTGGGGCAGCTGTGGGGAATGTGAAGCTTGATCCAAACAGTCAGAAAGCACCTATATTTTTAAATATAAATATTAATATTAGTCATAACTTGAGATAGTAAGGTGCTAGCTGCACACAATTTGAACAACATACATGTGTGAGTAATAACTTGGCTCAGTCAAAACAGCCCCAACCCGCCTGGAAAAATTCATCTATTTTACAGGATGGTGCTAGTTGCACAAAATAAGTCAATAAATTACATTTGCATGTTTACAATAATTTTACAATTACATTACTTCATCTTTTAACTTGCCCCACAACGCAAGTCAATCTGAGCAATCACAACTTTGCCAAACTCCACCTACCCAAGAACCTACACCAATATTCCAAAACTCCACCAATCACTGTTAGGACAAAGTCCGCCCACATTCGTAAGAAGTGCAGAGATCCCTATTTGGTATTTGTCCATATTGTCACAGCCAAAAAGTTGTTTGCTCATCAGCATGGTTAAACAAATGCATACAGTATATTATATCCCTGACACACTGGTGCCTAAATCCTAAACATAAAAGTCACATTTAGTCGAAATGTCCAGATGGTGCAAAACCACAACCAGATGTTTTTTTTGTGGGAGTGCAATTTCAACACTGACAGTAAAAAAAAAAAAAATAAATAAATAAAAAGTTTCAACAGCCAATTCTCACTGTTTGAAAGGTGCAGAGTGTGTCAGGGCTTCCAGCATAAAACAAGGTTCATTCGTAATCAGTAACACAGCAGTAACTGTTTGCCAACATTAAATCAAGCTGAAGTATCAGGACCGACTGAGCAGGGTCAAGGTTAAAAGTCTCAGCAATGGAGATAAAAGCGGAACTAATTTGCCTTTCCAGTGTTTTCCTCAGACTATGCTTGGGCTTGATGCCCAGGTATATTAAGAACTGCCCAAGTAGATTAGGCAGCCCATTTAAACACTTATCTTGATTTATTTTTACAGTCTAGAAAGACTAGAAAGTAGAATGCAGTGCAGTAGTTCAGTCCCTCTCTTTATATCTTATGTATATAGACAGATATGAAACTGGCAAACACATACCCAACCAATGAATAAAGCTTGTTCAGGAGGAAGGCTGTTTTCTCAAACTGCCTTTTTTTCTTTGTTTGTTTGTGCAAACTTTTACAAATAAGAAAATATTTTTTTCTTAAAAATGGAAAAAGTTTGAATTTAAAATTTAAATGTGATTAAAGCAAGAAAAAAATAAAGACATAAATAAACCATGCTAATATACAGTAAAATTTGGATTATTTGGAAATGACTACCCATACATAAATAAATACTGAATGGGATAAAACTCATACAATTAAAATGAACCCAACCTAAGACATGAAAATATAGCCTTTTATATATTAAATCAAAAAAAAAAAAGATGAACAAAGTAATGCTTTATGAGTTTCTTCATTGCTTGCTGGAAAGTTTTAGAGACCTACTTAAATCTTTGATCCAGATCAGGTCAAAATGAAAATTATCTTTTCCACTGTGCACCACAGTCTAAAAGACTATGACATCAAAGCAAAGATTTAGATTTAGTCAATTTTTTCATTGTAAACATGTCTCATAAACTGAACAGAGCAATAACAACACAGATAAGAGAGTATACTGCATTTGATACAGCTGGCGGAGGTTTATTGCATAAAAATAATAAATTCGAATTCTTACCCTCGCACGTACCCATTAATATGACAATAAATTAGAATTAGCTAAGGTGTTGTTCCAGATATTTGTCATTTTAAGCCTATACAGAGTCAGAAAACATCTTTTGATGATATGATGGTTTAGCTGATGTTGAGAATATGAAAAAAAATGCTTCCACTGCATTTAATGTGTTTACAAAGAAATCTTGGTAAATGCATCTTTTCTCTGCTGTGCGATAATAAAGACTTACTATGTAAATAAATCATTTCACAGGGATAAAGTAAATCAACAGAATAAAAGCAGGAGCTTGATTTTTTTTCCTTGATATTTATTTATCTGTTACTTTCCAGTGTTCTGACTGAGCCAAGGACAACTGTCTGTGTTTTATAAACTCAGTGCTGGAAAGCTACCTCTCTTGTAATCTATACACAATTTTAGTGCTTTCAAGGTGAAAACCTATGATTGGTTTTTGCGTTGAAAAACAAAGCTTGATCATGTTATCGCCAATGTTTACCATGGAGCTTCTGTTGTGAAGTCATAAAAAGACAAAATCAACCACACAAGTGAACCATAGGACAAATGGTAAATGGTAAAAGGACTGAACTTATAGAGAACTTTATCAAGTCCCTTCGGACTCCAAAGCGCTTTACACTAACAGACATTCACCCATGCACACACACATTCACACTGATGATGGTAAGCTACATTGTAGCCACAGCTGCCCTGGGGCACACTGACAGAAGCGAGGCTGCCATGCACTGGTGCCACCGGACACTCTGACCACCATCAGTAGGCAAGGTGGGTGAATTGTCTTGCCCAAGGACACAACGACTGAGATGGCTGGACGGGGGATCAAACTGGCGACCTTCCGGTTCCAGGATGACTCCACTAACCACTCCACCACAGCCGCCCAAATGTTCATGGAGTGAAGAAAAGAAAGTTTAATTCGGAACAGCAAAATAAGTATGACTAAATCCATCACAGCTGGTTGTAAAATAAAAAAAATGGTTATCCAACAAACGCATGTAAAAAAAGGAAATAAAAAAAGTTAAAAGATACAGACAAGCCCGAATGCCTAGAATTAACTCTCTGAAGGTGCCACATAAAAAAGGAAGTAGAATCAATGGAATCAGGTCCGACAGTTTGCATGCATCCATTAGGCTCACTCTCAGTCATCTTGAATGGCAGACACCAGTCTGATATCAATGTCTGGGCAATTTCTTATCCTATCAAACCACTATTTGTGGATGACAGCGCACAGAATGCTACAAAGCTTGTCCTTATCAGAACACAAACTCACACTACAGGCAGAAAAAAATCTGCTTAAAGAAAAAAAAAGCTCAGTGCCTGCCCACGCAAACACTGACAACTTCATTCTGCAGATTTTAACGAGTGGACTGAATCGATAAGCAGAGATAGCCCCGTGCCCATTTTAAAGAATTAATCAGAGGGAAACTGTACAATATTTGGTATAATAACACAATGCTTTTGTTCGCTCATCTGGTAATCTCTTAAAAGGCTGGAGAGGAAACAGAAGCGCCTGTAAAACATGGAATAATCGCTGTCACAAAGCTAATGAATCATTCAGACCTCAAATAACACTGAAACACCAATCTGCCAGCTGTCTTTTTAGCGGTGATTTGGTGTGGGTGATCAGGTCAGGGGGTTAAATCATGTTATACAAAGATAACACAAGGATCTTTTGCAACAGATAGCACATTCTGGTAACAGTGCAGAGGCAATGCTGCAATGTGTTTTCATTTTTCTTCAGGATTACGACCATTGCACGCTATTACACCTGTGAAACTATGCTAATCTCTTCAATTGTCACTGTATACTCTTCCCTGTCAAAGCTACAATTCTAAAGACTTAATAAAGACGAGGAAAGCAGAGTAGAACCCTGAGAAGTAATGGTGAAGTATATATCTGGAGGCTCTTACTGTGATGCGGATGGTGACGTTAGCTTGGCCTGGGGGCATTACCTCTCCTTGGTCGACAGCTTCCACCAGAAAACTGTAAGAGGTACTCATCCCCATAGCTGCCAGGCCCTCAAAGTCAAGGAGCTGCAATAGAGTCAACTCCCCGGTGACACGGTTCAGAGAAAACAGTTGCTTCGCCGATTCAGTCTTAATCCGATATGTGACATTGGAGAAGAGGTCTGGGTCAACCGCCTGTGAGTAAGACAAGCTAGGATGAGTAAGATGAAAACACTGAAAACATTTTAAAAAGAAACATGGACAAAAGGTCCCATGCAAGAATATTGATTTATATGTATTTTTAACAGAACTAAAGTTTTTTCAGACAGGAAATTTTCTAAACTAATTTCTAATGTTGTTACAAATGTTGAATTTTAGCTGTCTCACTCTGTCTGTTTACTTCCCTCATGCAATGATTTTCCTCCCTCTTGTCAATAGGCCAGGTTACCCAATCAAGAGCACATAAAAATAATTGGCTACATTCAAAACTGAAGGAAAATATCAACCATGTTAGACAAAAGCATGGCCTTGAACAGTTTCAGATTTTTCAATGAAAAGCACAAGCACAAGCGATCAATATATGATCCACCGAAAACCTGAAGGGAGCCGAGCCTTTAACTTGGACTAGAACAGATGGTGGAATAGAACGATCAGATTGATATAAGGAAGATTTCCAACCCTAAACATGAAATGAAGTGGGAGGAATCCCCAATTCCATTCCAATTTTTAATAAATAGCAAAAATTCCACACTTGGTTCAACGAACTTTAGGTATCTTTCCTGCCATTCGTCTCAGTTTAGAGTTGAGGTGTTGTTTTATGGGTTATTATAGTGTCACACTGTCACTGTCACTCAAAGCCCTCAGCTTCTTTTTCCTCTTTCCTTGGTCTCCCTCCCCCTAGTCTCCCCACCTCCTGCTATACTCCCATCTGGGAAGATGTCACTCACAATGTGCCAGCAATTACTTGCCCCTTTGCTCATGTTGGCGCAACATATGCTGGGTTTCTCTACGTTCACTTCAATACAACTGTGTACACTGATATTCGATAGTATTTAAGCTTAAGGCAAATGTTCTAAGTTTTTTTTATATATTTTTAGAGCCTAACGTGCACCACGTTGGCATTTGCTTGGATTTGGCTCATAAAAATGAAAGAAAAAAAACTTGCTTCAAGTCTTGTTTTGTCTAAAAGGGGCCAGAGAGAGCAGAGGAAGTGGAAGCCTCTAGGAATGTTGTATTTTTGTTAGTGTGTATGTTTCTATCGGGATTAATTTCACAATTAGAACAATAAAATACAACCACCCAGGATGAAATACTCTCCCAGCCTTTTGATAATATGCAATACAATACAATGTGGGCGGCACGGTGGCTCAGTTGGTAGAGCTGATGCCTCTCAGCAAGAAGGTCACCGGTTCAAATCCCGGTCTGGGGACC